TTGTAAAACAATTAGAATTGTTAGATTTCATCTTAAAAATCATTGGCATTGAGTGAAATTACCTAACAAATATATATGTTGCACTTTAAGGATTGAGATAGACGATGTGAAACTTCTCAACACCCCCTTCCACATATGCTTGCTTGACCAAGTGATGCCTATTACAATAGGAGAACCACGAAGATGAGTTCTAGGCTCTAATATTGTGTTAGATTCCATCTTAAAATCAATTGGAATTAATTGAAGTTACTCAACAAATATATAAGTTACATCTAGAGAATTGAGATAGGGGATGTGAGACTTTCCAAGGATTAATTATTTGAATGATAAAACTAATTTTAAACTCTTGCAACTAATTAACTATTTAATCATCTCTATGTACATATGTTTCACTATTTATGAATTAAACTACGGTCAATTATTAATAATTTAAAATTAGGGGAGATAATTCATTTCTATAAACAATTAATGTAATTAACTAGTTGAGAGAAACAAAACATTATTTAGGTTCATAAATATTAATTTGGAGGAATTCAAGGTCAAGTGAAGTCACAATTCTAAGATTCTAAGCTCCTTAAAATCAATTTACTTTATCTTCACTATTAAACTTCAATCCATGCAATTCACTGTTACATTTTCACCAAAAATTTATAATTCTCTCAAACTATTAAAAGTTATTAATATGTTAGTAATTTTTTGAAATTAGTCCATTAAATAAGATATTTAGACTTTGTTAGTTGTTACTATCACGATAAATTATACTTACCTTGAAAGCAATTAATATGCAACATGTACCAACTTTTAATAATCTTGCTGTTTTTTTTTTTGTTTTTTTTTTAAAAGGACAAGCTAACTTGTGAACTCCGAAATTTTGAAAGTGTTGAGTTCAGAAGAATGATTCAATAATTTAATCTCTTGATATCATATAGATACTGAAGTATATAGTAGATAGTCGTAATGAAATTCGTTGATGAATCAGATTCATATACAATATGTTCCGGCAACAAGAGTTTAACATGTAATTCATTAAATAATAATAATAATAATAATAACAATAATAATAATAATAATAATAATTATTATTATTATTATTATTATTATTATTGTCATATAGTGGTACACATTCTATGTCACATTAATATTTTTTATTTTTACTTATATTATTATATTTAATATACATTGATATTAAAAAAAATATAAGCTATAATTAATGATTTAATTTTATTGAATTTTATTTAAAATTAACATTAAAATTATGTTTAATTATATGTCAAATATATGTATATCTATATATATTGTATATATAATGACACTTTTTATATGTGCAATATTTCTTGTAATAATACTCAAATTTTTCTATAAATTTTTGCTGAAATTAGTATTTTTTTTTTTTGGTTCATGATATATACACTTCCTTTTTTTTATAAGTACACCTCCTTTAAAAAAAATAATTAAAATTTTAAAATATTCTTAATTTTTTGTTTAAATTTTTTAATTTTACATCCACAATATTTAATTTAGTACTTTTTTTTCACACATCTTTTCTCCTTTTTTCAATTTTTACATGCACCCCCTTATTTTTCCTTCACCCCACCTATTTTGATAACATGTGAAAATTGAAAGAGAAAAAAAAATGTGTGAATAAAAAGAAGAAAGTAGCAAATTGAAAGTTGAAAGTGTAAAATTAAATTCTTTTTAAAAAATTATAATATTTTATAATTTTTTTTTAAAAAAGGAGGTGTATTTATAAAAAAAAAAGGAGGTGTATATATCATGAGCTTTTTTTTTTATCTTGCAAGGGATGTGCTTTTTTTTTTTTAATGCATGCAAGGATGCCCTTTTCTTTAATTTAAACTTTTTCCAGCAAAAAAAAATGTTCCAGTTGTATACTAATAAGTAATTAAACAAAACTAACTGGTATAGTAGTTATTAAGGAAAGAAACTGTACTCGAATCTTTAGTCAAGTCTCTCATTATTATATTAATGGTATTATCAACTTGGGATTCCATAATTCATATATCATACCCCCAATGCAAGGGAATAAAAGCCTATGTATAACGCGTTTGTAACGGATCAAAATGATTAAAACTGATTTATGAAGTTGTGGAAGATTGAGAGGACAATGATTAAAGAACTTTTAGGTTTGTAGTTATGTATAATATGAGTCACAATTTTGCTTAGAATCAAAGAAAGCCCTTTAAAAATTAATAAAGCCAAGCTTAATGTGTTGAAGCTACGTCCTTTCGTCGCATAAAACACGAATAGGGATCGGTATCGTTGCTTTAAAAAGTAGTTTTGGTTATGAACTCTTATTTTAAGACCAGGTTCTCAAAAACGAAGGTATATAGTAATAAAGAGTTTTGTCTTTATTATCGTAAACTGAAGAAGAAATAACAATTTAAGATAAAAAGAATTTGAAGAAAGACCGATTTAAGAGGTTGGGGATAGTTGAATGAAATGAATTGGAAGAGAAAGTGACCATAAAGATAAAAGGTTAACACAAAAATAATTACATAACATACTCTTAGTTTTAAGAATTTAATACCATATTTAAGAATAAAGTATTAAAAATAAAAGTAACCTTTATCAAATAAATCATAAATAATTATGATATATAGAAAAATAAACATGTATGAGATCCAAAGTTTGCTCTATATGAACCAATTATGTTCAAATTGAGTAATATATAAGTTTTTATTATCGGCCAACAAATATTTATATTATTAATTATATATACCAGTACAAGAGATAACAAAATCCACATACATAAGATAGGTAGAAGATTATAAAAATATGTCCACCCATAAAAGGTCAAATTAACTTTTCAATTGAACAATTTCCTTCTCACCTTAGCACAACTCCCCTCCCTAGTCAACCCGCCAAATTTGATTATGACAGCTATAATATCCCCCAGCTCTTTCCATCCTAAATCCTAAATTTAGAATATAATATTTTGTAGTCCCCTTTACCCTCGTACACATGATGATGATAGGCAAGCTCCTGGATTAACCACCCATTGATTGAACGAGTAGTCTACCAAAAGTTGGGAGGATATGAGCCAAGATCATGAAGTGAAAAGTGTATCCTCCTTCAGTTTTTCTTTGTCTAAGGCGTTTCCATTAAAGACAATTATTTCTATACCTCCAGATACACCACATATTAGCACACCATACTACTTTCCATCTTTGTTTCTCCACTTCAGATGCCAGGCTATATGGAATTTGATTAAAATGTAGAGTAGGATCATTAGGCAAAACCGTATGAGTCCCAAACCAGTAAAAACATTCTTTCCAAATCCCATATACTTCATGACAAGAGAAAAAAATGTGTGACACCGACTCTAGATTTAAGTGCCAGAAGGGACAAGAACTATCCACTGATTCTGGTAGAACTCTCCTTCTAATTAAGTTTTCAAGAGTTGGTAAAGTATTACAAATGATCCTCCATATTAGAAATGTTGCCTTAGGTGGAACTTTGACTTTCTAGACCTGTGAGAAAATGACATTGTTTTGTCCTCCAAATTTCATGATGTATAAAGCTTTATACGCCTCATTAACAGTGAACTCCCCTGTGGAACCAGCCAACCATACCCACCTGTCCTCTTTCTCTTTATGCATTGTTACAATTGATAACATTTGTTGAAAAACTGACAGTTGGTTACTCTCCCATTGGAACTAATTTCTTCTCCAATTAAGCTTCCAAACCCACTTTTCTTCTTCCCAACTTCCCATGTTTGTTATCAATTCATGTCGCTGTTCCAAATTTAAGAATAGCCTAGGGTGAGTCTTAGCTAAACATTCTTCCCCTGTCCAGTTATCTAACCAAAATCTTGTTTGACCTCCTTCCCCCAATTTTCACTCTCTCATCTTATCAAACCAATTCAATTGGTTATTCCCACCACCCGCCTTTCTTAAGTCCCTCCGCCAAATAGATGATGATTTAATGTTATAATCATCATCATATTTAGATTTCAGAACCTTTGCCCAGAGATTGTCCCTATGATGAAACAGGTTCCATTTCCATTTAGCTAGTAAAGCTTCATTGAAAGTTATGATATCTTTAATGCCCAAGCCCACTTGACTCTTAGGACGACAAATGTTTTTCCAACTCACCCATGCAACTTTCCTTTTCCCTTCTATATATTGAGCCCCATAGAAATCTACTTTGAATACTCTTAATCTATCTTGCTACTCCTTGTGGCAATTTGGAAAAAGACAGGTAAAAGAGGGGTAAAGATGATAATACAGAGTTGATAAGACAAACTCTACCAGCCAAAGATAAGTGCCTATATTTCCAAGATGCAAACTTCTTCGTGAACTTATGTAGTATTGGCCTCCAAGTCACCTCCCGCCTTGGATTGGCACCAATTGGAATGCCAAGATATAAGAAAGACATCGAAAGTAGTGTACAATTCAGTAATTGTGCATATTTGTGCAACATATTTCCTTCCAAATGTATACTTATCATAATAATATATAGGTGACAACATTCTTTCTTTAAATATTAGACACAAATGTATACTTATCATCAAGTGCATATTTGTTTTCATGTTTGTCCATTGCAAACATTCATTTATTTGAATATATCATATACACACTTCTTCGTTTGAAAGCATTGAAATATGTACGAATAATTATTTAAACACACTCTAAGTCGCTAGTAAAATACTTGTTTTTTGTAAACAAGGACAGGATTTTAATAGTGTAGGTGAAAAAACATGTTTGAAAAAAAATATCATTAAAAATGATTGATCAAAGTTGATCTATATATTAAAGATCTATTTAGATACAAATTTATAAGTATTTTTGAGAATGTTTCTATTATAAAATACTTTTTATTTTTGATAGAGAAATTCTAAAAAATATTTTTAACTTGGATTAAAAATAAAAATACATTTATTCTTCACTCAACTTACAGTATATTATGATTTTAACTATAAAATTCAGAACCAAGACAAAGCTTGCTTACTTAGAAAACAATCCAACCTAGAAGAACTTTTACCTCCGAAAACCAAAACATGGTGTTACATAGAAGTGTGGAGAGATGAATGATTATGCCACCCACTATAAGCACATGCATTCCCTACCTAGCAAGGTTGGTGTGTCATTATAAGGACTTGTGTGTTTCCATTTCCAACACCCCTCCACACCTCATATTCTTCTTGTGACTCATCAACATATGGCAGTGCTAGCTCTTCCTCTTCCTCCACCACTAACCATGTTCACCCAATTCCTCATCTTCCTCCTCCTCTTCATTTCCACCACAGCTCAAGACACCTTCGTGCGCACACTAGACCGCAAAATGTTGGGTTTAGATGAAAAACAAGAAAAGCTGAGTCATTTCAGGTCGAGTAATGATCCATGCACACTTGCACAATATATACATCTAGTTCACACACTCTTCATTTTTCTTTATTTTTTGTTTTTATCACATTATATTATCATGATATTTATACTTCTTTCTTTTTTCCCCATATAATTACAAAAATAAAGTTCAAATTTAAGATATATTATCTCAACTCTCTATTATTATATTGATTTTAATAATTTATACTTCTTTCTTTTTCAACTCTATTTGTTTTTTTTTGTGTATAAGACCTGTTTAAAGAAATTATATGAAATAATTTTTACAAATTAACTTATTTTCATGTTTTTTCATAAGTGTTTATGATGAAAAAATTTATCCAAACAAAAATTTATTAATATATTTTTTGTGATCCATAAGAATTTGATGGATATTATCCAAATTACTATGGTGGGGGTTTGTTGTACATAAATGTTGATACATGATTTTGGTTTCAGATTCTATTGGCATGACGTGTTAAGTGGACAAAAGCCTTCTTCGATGGAAGTGGTTTCACCAGCCTTGAAGAACTCAAGCACAGGCTTTGGATTGGTGAACATGATTGAGAACCCTTTGACGTTGGAACCCCAATTGAACTCAAAATTGGTGGGGAAGGCACAGGGGTTCTATGCTTCGACATCACAGAGTGAGGTTACGTTGCTCATGGCTATGAATTTTGCAATCACTGAAGGAAAGTACAATGGGAGCACCATAACCATTTTGGGGAGGAACCCCATTTTCAACAAGGAGAGAGAGATGCCCGTGATTGGTGGAAGTGGTCTTTTTCGATTTGCTAGGGGCTATGCCAAACTTAGGACTCATTGGTTCTCACCCACCACTAGGGATGCTATTGTTGAGTACAATGTTTATGTTTTGCATTATTGATACATATGCAATACTACGTTGTCTATTTATGGTTTTATTTCTTTGGCACTATTTATATGTTTCTCATTTTACAAAAACAAAATTATGTGTTTCTTAATATTTTCGGCTTTTGGGACATCATGGGAAATTAGGCATTCCCTCACTTATGAGTCGATTCTTCCTTAAATAAGACCTTAAATCTTCGTCCGTGCAAATAAGGAGATTATTTTTGTAATTTATTCATTTGTTTCTTTATATGTCTTTTCTTCTTACTTCTTTCCGTCTTTCATCAAATTTGTGGAGCATATTACATTGATATCTGCTGAACTTTGATCAAAATGTGCTTAAATAATTTATGGAGTATACTCTGTTTTTTTTTTTTTTATTTTTATTTCTTTATCCTGCACGTGTACACCCATTAAATTTATATTATTGTAAAAGAAATACTGAACTCAAAATCCTAAAAGAGACTCTATCTGCTTCTGCATTTTTGTTTAAACAATAATGAGGGGTTAAAAGTTAAAAGATGTGAGCAGTTGACCGTGTTGAGAGTTTACAATTACGAAAGGAGCAATTCAAAAATTAAGTAAAATTCAATTTAAATTTATGGGACGTTATTGTAATTCACATTCTTTTTAAAATTTAGCGAAAACAAGTTTACACAATCAACAAATTATAAATCACAATTTCACTTTTAAATTAATTATTACAAATGACAACAAAATTTATCATTTATGTGAATTATGATTGGATGTGTACCGGAGAGACCGTATCGGTCACGTGGGCCAACACCGAAGAAGGATCACTGTCGAGTATCCACCCAAGATTTCAAAGGTCCTCTTTCAAAGGACATTAACAATCATCCAACTTTCAAAGGACATCAACAATCATCCAAGTCAAGAGCTGCCGTCGAGCCTCTCAGATCAAGAACGACAGTGAGGGTACCCCCAAGTTCCTCAAAGTCAAAATTGGGACCGCCATCGAGCTCCCACCATTGTAGACCCCTAAAATTGCCCGGGTCGGAAATAAAGCTTGAAGACTCTCGAAGACTGAAGGAAGATCAACCAGAAGGACTCCTGGAAGGCCCTAGGAGGGTTCTCTGTAGGTCTAGAGGTCTTAGAATAGCTCAAAATAAGAAAGTGGAGGGAATGAAGCCCAATACGGCCGTACTGAACTTAATACGGCCGTATTGAAGCTTCAATA